TCTAGATTAGAGCTAGCTGTAGCTGATGCCTTGATTTAAACTCCTAGTAACGGTGGAAGAGCATCCCCCACCGAGCTCTCCTCTTAACTATAGAACTGGGAGTTCATCCAGGATGGTTTTGACTCCTCAGCTTATAGAAATTTGTTTTATAGCAACAGAAGATGCAGCCAACTCATCTGTCACCTAATACTAAATTCCTTTGTTTTTCCTGAAGGTACCAGTCATTGGCTTGAGAGCCAGAATAACCTCAGCTTAACTTGATTTCATCTACAAAGACCTGTTTGCAAAATAAGCTACCTCAAGACAATAATTTTTTTAAAAAGAAAAAAATGTTTTCCTTCATAGTCCCAGGTAGACATAAGTTTTAGAAAGATATAGAGCAACTAGAAGCTAGTATATAGAAGATGAGACTGTAAATTACTTCCTTTACTTTGGAAAATTATTTGACAAGATGACCCACTATTTTCTTTCCAACGGAAGTATTTATATTGGCCAAAAGACATGTTCAACAATATTTGAGGGGCTCAGAGTAGCTTCCATGGTAGAATGTGCTTCTCATATTTGAAGCCCGGGGCTCAATCTCTAGCACCAATCTCCCCCCCAAATCATATCCACAGCAGCTTCATTCATAATACCCCAAAATGAAAACACTCGAATATCCATTAATATTATAACAGATAAATTGAGATATACTCATGCATGGAATGGGATATTATATATTTATGAAACAAAAAAGTAATGCTACATTCTACAACAGAAGGATTGATGCTCATGAGCATAAGACTGAGCTAAAAGGACTAGGTACGAATGAGTATTCAGTGTATGATAAACTTACAAAATAGATTTAATAAAAAAAACCAAACCATCCTGGGAAAAGGAATGGAAGTTTGTGTAGGGGGTAGGATAGAGAGGTACCTGAGTAGACAGCTGAGTTTCTCAGCATACTCCAGGTTCAGAGTGGCAGACACATAGGTTCATTTGCAGGGTCAAAATTTATCAGACTACAGTTGGGACACTTCCCTATATAATCAACTGAACGTTCCTTACCATTGACAATGTGGAGAAATTACACTCCTCATTTGCTGCTGATAGAAATACAAAATGGTATTGCCTCACAAACCCTTCCTGGATCCCTCCCTGCCTCCTTCCCCTCCCTTCTCTCTCTCCCTCCATTTTCTTCCTTCATCCCTCTCTCCCTTCTTTCCATCCCTTCCTTCATTCCTTCCTGTCCTCCTTCCTTTCTTCTTCCTTTCCTCCTTCCCTCATTTCCCGTCTTCTTCCCTCTCTTCCTCTTTTTTTTTTTAAAAAAACTGGTACTGGGGTCTAAACTGAGAGACTTTGGCTTACAAGACAAGTGGGTTTTTGGGTTTGGGGTTTGTTGTTGTTGTTTGGGGGGATTTTATTTTTTGCCTGTCTACTTATGCAAGGGACCTGGAGTACATAAACTCAACTGACATGGTGACTCATGCCTGTAATCTCAGCTACTCAGGAAGCAGAGGCAGAGGGATTAAGAATTCCAGGGCAGTCCAGTCAAAGTTACTGAGATCCAATGGCAATGACTTATGCCTGTAATCCTGGTTTCTCAGGAGGTCGAGATCTGAGGACCATGGCTTGAAGCCAGCCTGAGCAGGAAAATCTGTGATACTCTTTATCTCTAATTAACCACCAAAAAAAAAAAAAAAAAAAAACCCAGGAAGTGGCACTGTGACTCAAGTAGTTGGGCGCCGGCCTTGAGCAAAAAAGCTCAAGGACAGTGCTGAATCCCTGAGTTCAAGCCCCAGGATTTGTGCGCGCACACACACACACACAATTAATGAGAGACCTTGTCTCAAAAGTAAAATACAAGCAAAAGGACTTAAGGTTGACATGGTAGAACATCTTCCTAGCATGTGCTAGGCCCTGGGTTCAATCCTAGTACCAGGGTGAGGGTAGGAGAGAGTAGACAAATTCATAAACAGAAAAATAGAATAGATGCTGGGTGCTGGTGGCTGACGACTACAGATGTAGCCACTAAGGAGGCTGACATCAGAGGATCAAGGTTTGAAGCCAACCTGAGTAGATACATTCTCTAGACTCTTATCTCTAATTAACTAGCAGAAAGCTGTAACTGGAAATATGGCTCAAGCAGCTTCTTACCAGCCAGAAGTAGGAAAGGCTACTGTAGCATGAGGCCCTGAATTCAAGCCCTCACAGCAGCATATACATCAGAAAGTAGAATAGAGGTAACCAGGGTTTGTGGTGAGACAAGAATAGAGAGTTCTTGGAGTACTCAGAATTTCTATGTAGGGTGCTGAGAAAGTTCTAGACACGCATAGTGGTAATTTTGAGTCCCTTGCTCTCTTCTTTTGACAGTGCTGGGGTTTGAACTCAGGGCCTCATGCTAGTTAGGCAGGTGATCTACCACTTAACCTCCAACCTAATAGTGGTGATTTTGAATGCACTTAATGGCATTGAATTACACACTTAAAATGGTCCATTTTAGGTAATGTCTATTTTACTACAATAAAAAGCAAACAACCACAACAAAAATAAATCTCTAGTCCTTTTCTTTCAAAGTTCTTATTAACCTGATGGAAGACAGACTTGTAAGACAAGGGCCCTGAACTCCAAGAGTCTGTCTTAAAGGCAAACCTGAGAAGGTTCCTTTTGGGGCTTCTTGATTTAGGTCAGTTGAGTCTTCAATGACTTCTGTCCCTGAAACAAGAACCATTTGCTTTGTACTAAGACTGTAAAACGATCTTGCTGTTGAGACATTCATTCATCTTACCTTAATTCTTGACTTTTCTGTTCTGTAAGGTTGCTGCTGACTTTCTGAGTTAAAGTTAATTTATTCTCATTGTTAAACCAGAGAAATTGTGGTTTGTTTGGTTGTGGTTATTTTCCACCTGGGTTGCTGCTTTCATGATGTTCAGCTGGCCTGGTAGCTAGTCTTCATTCCACTCTTTCATTAAGGGATCATGTGAAATGATTAAAAACACTCATCCTCAGCCAGACTCCAGTGACTATCTCAATTAAATGAAGGGTAAGGAGTGGTACCAGGACCTCCACTGGTAACAAAGGCCTCAGTTCCTCAGCCTGGCGCTCTGGCTGCTTTTGTCCTTGGCTTCCTTCACTCAGGGCTGCCTCCACACGCCCATCTCTGCGATTCCTATCCTCACACATCTTTTCCCCTGTCCCCAGCTAATGCATTAGAGTTGGAATCAATTGTATTAAAAAATTGGGTCCTAGCTGAGTGCTGATGGCTCATACCTGTAATTGTAGCTACTCAGGAGGCTGATATCTGAGGCTCACTGTTCAAAACCAGCCCAGGCAGGAAAGTCCTTGAGACTCTTTTTTAAAAAAAAAATTTATTGTAAAGGTGGTGTACAGAGGGGTTACAGTTATATAAGCAAGGCAATAAGTACATTTCTTTGTGAACAGTGTCAGCCCTCCTTCATTTTCTCCCATTTTCCCCCTCCCCTCCTTGAGACTCTTATCTCCAATTAACCACCAAAAAACCAGAAGTGGAGCTGTAGCTCAAGTGGTAAAGTGTTATCCTTGAGCACAAAAGCTCTAGGACTGGGCCTAGGCCCTGAGTTCAAGCCCTAGGACCAGCACACCCCTCTTCCCCCTGACTCCCTCCCCCCCCCCCCGCCCCACACACAGGAATAATCAGGTCCTCTTTTTCCACTTGATTTCATATTATAAATGTTTCTCCATGTTCTTCAATATTCCTTGAAAACCTTTCCTGATGCTCACTGCAATCAGGAAGATGGGAGGCATCTTAAGTAATTGTTATTGTTGTTATTTTTGTGCCAGTCCTGCGGCTTGAACTCTAGGCATAGGCACTGTTCTTCAGCTTTTTTTTTTTTTTTTTTGGTTCCGGTCGTGGGGCCTGAACTCTGGGCCTGGGCACTGTCCCTCAGCTCTTCAGCTCAAGGCTAGCGCTCTACCACTTGAGCCACAGCGCCACTTCCGGCTTTTTTCTTTTGGCTTATGTGGTGCTGGGAATCGAACCCAGGGCCTCAGGCATGCAAAGCAAGCGCTCTTACCACTGAGTCACCTTCCCAGCCCCTTCTTCAGCTTTTTTGCTCAAGGTTAGTGCTCTACCACTTGAGCCACAGCTTCACTTTCTGCTTTTTGGTGGTTAATTGGAGAAAAGAGTCTCCCAGACTTATTTGCCAGAGCTGGCTTTAAACCACAATCCTCAGCTCTCAGCCTTCTGATTAGCTAGGATTACAAGCATGAGCCATCAGCTCCTGGCTAATTATATCTTCAGTGTTCTGAATAGGTAATGCAGTTACTGAAAAAGTACCAAAAGGATGCAGTTTTAATTGGCCCTCCTACCTCTGTACCATCTACTTATTTTCAATTTATTTCCCACTTCCAGCCCAGATATGTAATAGTTATATGTTGTTCACACATGAATGTATAAATGTGCATGTATATGTACATGCGCGCGCGCACACACACACACACACACACACACACACACACACACACACAACCTTATCTGCCTCTCCCCTGACTTTTTACGTATACAGAGAGTTAAGATCAGTAGACTTAAATTATTTGCTGTTGCAAAACTTGGCTACTTGTTTGGTGTAAAGTATATCTCAAAGTGAATCTCTGAATGAATTACTTTTCATGTTAGACTCCTCATGTGGAGAGTTCAGTTTGTTTCAATGGTAATTTCATTTTGCAGTGGATGTGAGGCCAAATGGCTGTCGTTGCCAAGTCTTATGTAACTACCAGACGCAGAGCCTTCCACCAGCCACCATATGTTGTAAGAAATAAAGCCAAAGAGACTAAAACACGTTCTCCAGCAGGAGAGCACGTTCTGAGTCCTCGGATGTACAACATGAAGTCACTCCATGTGACATAGCTCTTAGGGAAATACTTTTTCCTTTTCTTTGTGTTCTTTAGGGTGACGTCCCAAGGGACTTGTAGGAAAGAGGGAAAGAGCTGGGGGGCAGCTCTGTTCCATGCATGCCACTTCATTTTGCCTCCGTCTCCCCTAGGTACTGGCGGAGGACGTTGGGCATGCAGGTTCGCTATGTGCAACATGGAGATTACCAGTTCTGTTATTCCTTCCGGGGCCGGCCTGGACACAAGCCGTCCATCCTCATGCTGCACGGATTCTCAGCCCACAAGGACATGTGGCTCAGTGTCGTCAAGGTACAGGTCCAAGTGACTCTCCTCTCTTAGAAGGAAAGGGTTTCACAGCAATGGAGGAAGGTAAAGAGAGCCCAGAACTATAGTTTCTCATTTATTTTGGAAATTAACAGAGTTATGTTATGCTGATGCTTTTGTCAGAAATGAACTGAATATTATTTGTAAAACCTGTACCTCTGCAATCTTTTCTTTGTGCTGGTACTGGGGCTTGAATTTAAGGCCTTGGCCATGCCCCTGAACTTTTTTGCTCAAGGTAGGTATTCTACCACTTGCCTCAGAAGTATTTTCTTCTCTGAGGATTGTGCTGAACCATAACCCTCAGATCTCAGCTCCTGAGTTGCTAGGATTACAGGTGTGAGCCTCTGGTGCCTGGAAATCTTTATACCTTAAGGTTTCTGACAGTGTCAGTTCAGAACTGCCGTGGTAATCAAGGCTAGACTTTTCTCTTTGTGAAACAAGGACTTGCTTGTAGCCCAGACTTGCCTCAGACTGGTGATCCTTCCCCTTCAGCTTCCCAAATAATTGAGATTACAGACATGAGCCACCATACCTGGTTAAGGCTGGACTTTTGTAAAAAGCATTTGTCACGCTGATGATGTAGATCAGTGGTAAAGTAGCTTGCCTAGCATGCCCAAGGCTCTGAGTTTGACCCTCACCACCAATTTTTTGTATGTGTGCCTGTTCTGGGGCGGGGGGGGGGGGGTGTCTTAGGCACTGTCCCTAAGCTTTTGCTCAAGTCTGGTGCTCTACCATTTGAAACACAGTTCCTCTAGCTGTTTTATATTAATTGGTGGTAAGAGTCTCAATGACAAAAAAAAAGACTTTCCTGGCCAGGCTGGCTTCGAACCTCAATCCTCAGATCTCAGCCTCCCAAGTAGCTAGGATTACAGGTGTGAGCCACCAGTGGCTTGCCTCCCACCACCATTTTTTAGAAATGTATTTACATATAACAGGTTTCCTCTTTCTTCTCCCTCCTCTTACTTCCCTTCTCCTTCTACCTTTCTTTCATTTCTCTCACTCCCACCCCTGTTTTCCTTAGCCACTTAGAGAATCAGTCTTGATGTGGTAGTTTTCTGGAATAGTTTTCTAAATCAGTTTCTGTCCTGGTTCACTTGCTGCACTTGGTAAAAGTAACCAGCTAGTGAAGGCTGGGGCTGGTGGAAGTCTTAGGAGGAAGGCAGCATCCCACACTCTTCCTCAGGTGGGGCCATACATGCCTGATCCCAACTATTACCTACACTGGAGGATGAGGCTCATACCTCCTGTGGCTACTTGGGTTCCTATTTCCAGATGGCTACGAGGATAATCATCCTCTTATGTTTATGGGTCTCTCCTTCTTATCCCCCATTGATAAGCATCATCTCTATGACTGCATAGTGTTTATAACTGATGTTTCTGAAAATGGAGCTGTGGCTCAAAATGATAGAATGCTAGCCTTGAGCAAAAGAGCTCAGAGACAGTGCCCTGGCCCTGTGTTTAAGCTCTACAACTGGCAAAAAAAGAAAAAGAAAAGAAAAGAAAACACACACACACACACACACACACACACACACACACACACACACACACAAAACCTTTAAGAAAAGAAAAGCTGGGCACTGATGGCTCAAGCCTGTAATCCTAGCTACTCATGAGGCTGAGATCTAAGGATCATGGTTTGAAACCAGCCCAGGCAAGAAAATCCATGAGATTCATCTCCAATTAACCTCCAGAAAATTGGAAGTGGCACTGTGGCTCAAAATGGTAGAGCACTAGCCTTGAGAGAAAAAGCTCAGGGATAGCCCCCAGGCCCTGAGTTCAAGCTCCATGACCAACAAAACATAAAAAGGAAACTAGGAGATCTCAAAACGCACATCCCCAGGGATGTCTAACCAGGAGACTTGGTAAGTGGGAACAACCTTTTTAGAAAAGCAAGTAGATATAGTTGTCACATCATATTCTGAGTTTCTGGGTCTATGTTCCCTCAGTTCCTTCCAAAGAATTTGCATTTGATCTGCGTGGATATGCCAGGACACGAGGGCACCACTCGCTCCTCCCTGGATGACCTGTCCATAGATGGGCAAGTCAAAAGAATCCATCAGGTAAGTAGGAGGCACCATCAAAACTCCCCACCCAGCTGCCCACCACTGCCTGCCCAAGCAGGAGAACCAGGCAAGAGAGTTCCACATTGACTCCAGAGCAGCCTCCAGTGCATTCGGTCTGCCCATGATCCCCAACTAAATGGCAACTTAGTGCCATCCACAGTCATATTACGAACTGTTCTGCACTAAGCTGGTGGCACTTACTCATGAGGAAATACAACTCGAGCATTTTCCCAGCCCTTTGAAAATGAGTTTAGAATTCTTCAAGACAGTTTTCCACTCTCGAGGTTTGTTTGTGTGTTTACCAACTACATGGTAACAGCAATTGCCCCTCTGCCTAGTTAGGAACAATATACTTTGCATTTTGTTGTATTTTAACATCTATCTCTTGCTTTTCCTGACTGGGATTTTAAGGCCAGGAAAGCTAGGGAGCCATTTCACAATCGATCAGCCTATATTGTTTCAAATGAACATTAGATATTTTCTCTATTTACTTAATGTCTGCCTCTGCTGTTGAAATATATATTTTAATAAGATCAGGAACTTATCCTTTTTCTGCATCCTCAGCAGCTAACCTTAATTCCTTGCATATAGTAAATATCCCCCCTCATCCATTTTTTTTCTGTGATGGATAGATGTATGGAAGTTGATTGGATAAATGGATAGATGTGGGGGAGGTTTTAAATTAAAGCAGAAGTCATCAAACTGTGGCCTGTGGAATATAATTGGCCTGCCATCTGTTTGGGTAAACTTAAGTTTTAATGGAACAGAGAGCCACACTTGGTCACTTAGATATTGTCTTTGGCTGCTTTTGTGGGATAATAGCAGAGTTGAATGGTTGCAAAAAGATCATATGTGACCCTTCAGTAACCTGTGCCAAGTAGAGTATAGCCCAAGGGATGGGCCTCCCACAGGGATGGCTAATTGTCTGGATAGTGGATCGCATGGTGTCAGAACCTTTTTGATCAGTAGTGATTCTCCATGGACCATAGTCACATTCAGGTGTACAGTTGTCTCCACTCTGTAATGACCACTGCTGAGGTATAACCAGCCTCTTCCTTCCTCCCCTCACCTAGTTTGTTGAATGCCTCAAGCTGAATAAGAAACCCTTCCACTTGATCGGCACATCCATGGGTGGCCACGTGGCTGGTGTGTATGCTGCCTATTACCCATCGGATATTTCCAGCCTGTGCCTTGTGTGCCCTGCTGGTGAGTTACATGGCTGGAACATCCCCCTGTGTAACTTGTGCATGGAGTGTGAATCTTTGAAGACATGAGTATGCAGTGTCTGATATGACTATTTTAAAAAAATCACCTTTCTGGTATGGAATTTAAAGATTATGTGATGCTTTATTGATAACTAACCAAGCAACAACTACCTACCCATAATCTGACTGATTCAAAATGTAGAAGAGAGCTTCTGTAGTTCAGTGATAGAATTGCTTGCCAGGCATATGCAAGGGCCTGGGTTCTATCTCTAGTATTAGAAAGAAAAAGTAGAACTAGCCCTGTTCCAAAAAACAATCAGAGGTACAAAGTTAAAATGTGCATAGTGCTTTGTAGTACATAGTGCTTTGAACTATGTGCATGAGAGTATTTGTTTTTGTTTAGTGTTATTTTTGCAGTAACCGGGGTTTGAACTCTGGATATGGCATTTGCTAAGCAGATGCTGTACCACTTGAGCCATGCCTCTAGCCTCCTTTTGTATTGGTTATTTTCAAGGTAGGGTCTTGCCTTATGCTGGGGCCAGCCTGGGCTGCAATTCTCCTACTTGTGTTTCCTCATGCTGCTGAGGATGACAGGTTGTGTACCCTTATACCTAGCCGTTGGTTGAGATGGAGTCTCAAGAACTTTGACATGTGAGCTGGTCTTGAACCATAATCTTGGCCTCTTCAGTAGTTAGGATAACAAACTTGAGCCTCTGGCCCTAGCTTAAACTATAATGTTCTGTGGTCACTCAATATCTATTCAGCTTTCAAGGGCTAAGACTATTTGTGAATTTAATTCTCACTATATCTCTGTGAAGTGAAGGTACTATTTTTATACCGCTCCTTTTCCTCCTTTTTTTTTTTCTTTCTGAAAACAGAGATCTTCATTAATTACTAGACCTTTAGAAAAAGATGAGTAGGCTTTGATTTTTTTTTCTATACATACACATGTTGACTTGAGCTATAAATACCATGTGAAATAAGGTTTTTAAATTCATTTTTCTTCCGTAAGTCTTCAAACTTGAGTTTATAGTATAGAATAGATAAAAATCTTTAGTTCTTTTTTGTTTTCCTTCTCCCTCTATTTTTGATATTTTATTGGGGTATTATTTACATAAAACAATTTGTTGTTTAAATATTAAGTATATGTTGGGCACCAGTAGCTCATGCCTGTCTGTAATCCAACTACTCAGGAGCTGAAATCTGATGAACAATGTTCAAAGCCAGCCAGGTAGGAATGTCCATGAAACTCTTATCTCCAATTAATCCAGAAGTGAAGCTGGGGCTAAAGAGGTAGGGTTCTGTTTAGCAAAATTGCTGAGGAACAATGCCTAGACTCTTGAGTTCAAACCCCAGAACTGGCACACATACAAACATTTTAAGTGTTTATCTATGACTGTTTATATTCATAATTACCATACACATAAAGATATTATGCCCACTTGATAGATGGAAACATTGAGATACCAAGAAATCATATTAAGCTGGACATGGTGATTCATGCCTGTAATCCTAGCCACTCAGGACACAGGTACCTAAGGATCACAGTACAAAGCTGGCCCAGTCAGATAAATCCTAGAGACTCACGTCTCTAGTTGATCAGCAAAAATCCAGAATTGGAGATGTGGCTCTAGTGATAGAACCTCAGTTTTGAGTGAAAAAATTGAGACTATAGAGGTCCTGGGCCTCCGTGCTGGCACACATACAAAATCACATTAGAACCAGAACCAGGATCCCCATACAGATTTCAGCACCCACACTGAGGGTGTGGGAATCCTTTGACACTTGCTCTTTTATTTATATGATGCAGCTAGAAACTGAGCATTCGCACCTCTTCCTTAACAAGTTGACCTTAAAAATACTTCTGTCACCATGAAAGTTTTCAGGTCTGTTAAGGATACTGAAATTAGAGACAAGCTCCCAAAGAGTTCTCTCTTCCCCTTCCCCCTTTTCCAAGCACCATGTCTGAAATGAAATCATTTGGTCTTTTATTTTTTGGTCCAGTCATGGGGCCTGAACTCTGGGCCTGGGCGCTGTCCCTCAGCTCTTCAGCTCAAGGCTAGCGCTCTACCACTTGAACCATAGCGCCACTTCCGGCTTTTTTCTTTTTGCTTATGTGGTGCTGAGGAATCGAACCCAGGGCCTCCTGCATGCAAGGCAAGCGCTCTACCACTGAGCCACCTTCCCAGCCCCTCATTTGGTCTTTTAATAGCAAAGTTTGAGAATTGAAGAACAGCTATAGTAGATGTCTATTAAATATTAATTCATTTCTGGAAGGTTATATCTAACTGGCATTTCCATGTATATGTTTGGTTGCTCAGAGAAGAACTTCATATCAGAGTTTTAATGTAAAATGTTAAATTGCTTATATGTGAAAAAATATTTTAAAAATTAGCATAATACCCTACCTAAGTTTTTATTATTAAACTGGTTTTAAATTTTGAAATAATTTTAAATTTATAGAAAATTTTCAGAAATAAAGACCCTACTCCCTTTCCCCAGTTTTTTCCTTCCTTCTTTCTTTCTCTTTCTCCTTCCTTCCTTCCTTCCTCCCTTCCTCCCTTCCTTCCTTCCTTCCTTCCTTCCTTCCTTCCTTCCTTCCTTTCTCTCTCTCTCTCTCTCTTTCTCTCTTCTCTCTCTTTCTCTCTTTCTTTCTCTCTTTCTTTCTCTCTTTCTTTCTCTCTTTCTTTCTCTCTTTCTTTCTCTCTTTCTTTCTCTCTTTCTTTCTCTCTTTCTTTCTTTCTTTCTTTCTTTTTTGTGGGTCCTGAACTCTGGGCCTGGGTGCTGTCCCTCAGCTCTTTAGCTCAAGGTTAGCACTCAACCACTGAAGCCACAGCACTACTTCCAGCTTTTTCTGCTTATGTGGTGCTAAGGAATTGAACCCAAGGCCTCATGCATGCAAGGCAAGCACTCTACCACTAAGCTACCTTCCCAGCCCTAATCTTGTTTCTTAATGGCAACAAATTTATTGTGAGGTGAGCTTGTTAAAAATGGAGGAAACTGGGGCTGGAAAGGTGGCTCAGTGGTAGAGTGCTTGCCTTGCATGCATGAGGCCCTGGGTTTGATTCCTCAGCACCACATAAGCAGAAAAAGCCAGAAGTGGCTCTGTGGCTTAAGTGGTAGAATGCTAGCCTTGAGCTGAAGAGCTGAGGGACAGCGCCCAGGCCCAGAGTTCAGGCCTTATGACTGACAAAAAAAAAAGAGAGAGGGGGGAAGAAAAGAAAAGAAAAGAAACTAAACAAGATTAGCTGGGGAGCTGGGAGCTTGTGCCTGTAACCCTGGCCTCTTAGGAGCCTGAGATCTGAGGATCATAATTCAAAGCTAGCCTGGATAGACAAACCTATGACACTCTCATTTCCAATAAACAATCAAAAAGCTGGTAGTGGAGGCATGGGTCAAGTGATCGAGCACTAGTGATGAATGAAGAAGTCAAGCAAGAGTGTGAATTCAAGTCCCACTACTTGCACCTATGCATGTGCGTGCACGCACCTCCTACACGCGCACACCACACACACACACACACACACACACACACACACACACACACACACACACACACACACACACACACACACACACACACACACACACACACACACACACACCAAAAGGAAAAGAATTTATTCTCCTGGTAAAAGAAGCCTGACATGTTAGATTTGAATGGCAATTGGAAATTCCCTGTTTAAAATGAGGCTTGGTACGAAGACAGATGTATTGTCAAGCTCTCTGGTTTGAATCACACAGGCTTGCAGTATTCAGCTGATAATGAGTTTGTACAACGGATCAAATCGCTGGAAGACTCACCCACCACACACAAGATTCCCTTGGTCCCATCCACTCCAGAAGAGATGAGTGAAATGCTCCAGCTCTGCTCCTATGTCCGCTTCAAGGTGCCTCAGCAGGTACAGTGGCTTGCAGCCATGCCCTTGTGTTCTCTGGGGGCTCCAGGGGCCACACCAGCTTCCCTCCTAGGTCCTCTGCTGTTCCTGTTCACTAGCACCTTCTTATCCACTTCCATTTGTTCATTTCACAGTGGCTACATGGTGCCAGTGACATACCAGGCTCTGCACTGGGCATAGTGGTGAATATATAAGACCAAGAAGGTGCCCGAGAAGGTGTAGTTCAATATAGAGGGTAGACAATTAACAAATTAAAAAAATTAAGTCAGGTGCCAGTGACTCATAATCCTAGTTATTCAGGAGGTTGAAATCTGAGGATCACAGTTTGAAGCTAGCCTGGGCAGGAAAGTCTGTGAGACTTTTTTTTTTTTTTTTGCCGGTCATGGGGCCTGAACTCTGGGTCTGGGCGCTGTCCCTCAGCTCTTCAGCTCAAGGCTAGCGCTCTACCACTGGATCCACAGCGCCATTTCCGGCTTTTTCTATTTATGTGGTGCTGAGGAATCGAACCCAGGGCCTCATGCTTGCAAGGCATGCACTCTACCGCTGAGCTACCTTCCCAGCCCTGTGAGACTCTTGTCTACAATTAACCACCAAAAAGCCAAAAATGGAACTGTGACTCAAGTAGTAGAGTGTAACCTTGAGCAAAAAAGCTCAGGAACAGCACTGAGGCCCTGAGTTCAAGCTCCAGGACTGGCACCAAAAATAAAATTTTTTAAATATATATATGCCTTTCAAGATCTTACCTCCCAATAATACCATATACCACGGCTATGAGGACTTGCAAGATTAGCCCTTGACAGTTCAGGAAATAGCTGGCCTTTTTTCCCCCTCCATTATTTCAGAGCTGTGAGAGGCCTGAGGAAATGAGTGTTCCCTTGCTTTCTGACTTTGGTTTATCTGTCCTCAGATCCTTCAAGGCCTGGTGGATGTCCGCATCCCCCATAACAACTTCTACCGGAAGTGTGAGTAGCTCTTTTGTTCAGCTGGGAGATGGTTACAAGTGAAGCTTGTGGTTGGTTGTTTTTTAAAGCTCTGTAACTCTGAAATGTTTTATGGGCCCCTGAGGCAGGGAAGTGGTGGCCTGGGGTTCACTATCCCTTGACTCTGTTGTGGTACTCCTGGGCACAACTAAGTACATGCTCACATGTTTCCCTTTTTTGGACAGTGTTTTTGGAAATCGTGAGTGAAAAGTCCAGATACACTCTACATCAGAACATGGAGAAGATCAAGGTCCCAACACAGGTCATCTGGGGAAAACAAGACCAGGTATGTCACAAAGCCCTCAGAAAAGAGCCTTGAGGAAAAGCAAGTGGGCAGAGTCTCTTTGATCTATTCCTCTTATCTGGAAGGGGTGGCATCTGCACCTGCCAAGTGCCTGGGTTCACAGTCCTGAGTTGAGACCCTTGTCATTTCTTCTTGTGGTGTTTCTAAGAAGCAGACTATAGACATTTACTTTGAGACCATCAATTGTCCTGCTCCTCCTCAAACACCCCCCCCCCCCAAATTTACCATCCATGATGATTCTTGTCCAAAACAATCTTTTTCTTCTTTTTTTGTAGTACTTGGGTTTGAGCTCAAGGCCACATGCTTGCTAGGCAAACTCTCTACCACTTAAGCCACAAGCCTAGCCTTTTTTTTCTTTTTTCTTTAGTTACTTTTTTTCATAGGGTCTCACTTTTGCCTGGAGATGGCTCAGATCTCAAATCTCTTACCTATAACCTCCTGCATAGCTGAGATGATGGGTGCATGCCATCATGTTCAGTTTATTGATCTGGATGAGCGTCCAGATTGGCTTTACACAAAGATTCTTCTGATCTCTATGAGCCACTATGCCTGCCCTTCTCTTTCACTTCGTGTGTGTGTGTGTGTGTGTGTGTGTGTGTGTGTGTGTGTGTGTGTGTGTGTTGAACTTAGGGCTTGAGCACTGTCTCTTAACTTTTTTGCTCAAGGCTAGTGCTCTACCATTTGAGCTACAGATCCAATTCTGGCTTTTTGGTGGTTAATTGGAGATAAGAGGCTCAGACTTTCTTGCACAAGCTAGTTTGAATCACGATCCTCAGATCTTAGCCTCCTGAGTAGCTAAGATTACAGGCATAAGCTACCATCACCCAATTTACAACTGTGTTTCAGAAACCATCTCCTTCATATAATTCAAAGCCAGAGGAAAGAGTGGGACAAAAAAAGAGGAAGCAGTGAGAAACAGATCCTCTAAAAAACCTACAACACAGGCAGAATAAGTATCTGCTGATGGGTAGGCAGGAGTCTTATACTAGGGAATATTGTGAATAAAGGGTATTACCTTAATCCACTATATTTTTAAAGTTCACTATCTTAATCCACTTTCTGAGGCTATAACAAAATGCCTGAAACTGGTTCATTTATATGGATTGGAAGTTTACCAGGCTTGGTGTTTTGGAGGTTGGCATGTCATAGAGCACCCACCAGCATCTGGTGAGTGGCTTCCTGCTGTACTATAACAGAGAGGAGGGTTTCATGTGATGATAGAGATGTGGATCTAGACAGAGCCCACAGTGGTAAGAAAGCCACTCCCACAATAATAAAGCTCTTCCCACAACAGTGACTCCATCCATCCATCCATCCATCCATCCATCCATCCATCCATCCATCCATCCATCCACCCATCCAGGCAGACAGAGCTCTCTTTAATCAGTTCATCTCTTGATGAGAGGGATAGGTTCCTATGAACTTTTGGAGGACACATTGAAACCTCAGCAGACCCCAAGATGAAGGCCACCATGGGGAGGGAGGGCAGTGGTGACTCCAGTCAGTGTGGCAGAGGGAACACAGCACAGGGATGGGGGAGGAGGAGAGAAGGAAGGTTTCCATCTTCCTTTCTTCAGAGAATGAAAGCAGCTTTGTGTGCCTGAGCCACAGAGGTAGCATCCAGGCTTGGTCAGCAGGCAGTCAGTTGATCAGGAATCAGCTCAGAACAACAGAGGTCTTTATTGTAAAAACACCCAGGTGATTTGAGCCTCCCAGGGACTAGCAGGGAAAGGCTATAACCCATTGTTTTGTGGAGACTCCAGGAGCCAAGCCCTGTGCTCTTGGTGCCTTGGAGTCAGAAAGTCTGCATCCCAGTTCCACTTTGGCCCTTTTCAGCCCTTCTTACCCTGTACCTTTAAGCAGTCACTCAGCCACTCCAAATAGAACATTTCTTCCACTCCTGTGGTACTTGTGAGGCTCAAACGTCCCAGTATATGATGAACGATCATGTGAATGATGCCTCCTGTTGGGCACAGTACAGCCTGTAAACACCGAAACCTGGCAGCCCCTCCTGATCGTATCCTACATGTCAATCCAAGCACCTCTCTTATGGCCCTTCTCCCTGCTTATACAGTGCCTCACAAACAAGATCTTGAATTTCTTTATTGCATTCATGTTTTTTTCTTAAATGACACTTTAAAATATTTTTTTTTATCTTGAATGATAAGGATTTGGGTACCCATTTAAATTTTATGCTCTAGGTAAGGACTTCAGTTAAATCATTTCATCCTAGCCCTGAATAAAATGAAATGGAAGAAAAAGATTAACCATTTAAGCCAGACATAGGTGGCTCACACCTGTGATCCTAGCTACTCAGGAGGCTGAGAGCTGAGGATCACAGTTCAACACCTGCCAAGGCAGGAAAATTTGTAAGACTTTAATCTCTAACCATCAAAAAACCAGAAGTGGAACAGTGGCTTACGTGGTAGAGCACCACCCATGCACAGGAAAGCTAAGGGACAGCATTCATACCCTAAATTCAAATCTCCAGGACTGGCACCAGAAAAAATAATAAATAAATTGCTGGGCTGATGGCTCATGCCTGTAATCCTAACTACTCAGGAGGCTGAGATCTGTGGATCACAATTCAAAGCCAGCTTGGGCAGGAAACTCCATGAGACTCTTTTCTCTAATAAACCACTTGAAAACCGGAAGTGATGCTGTGGCTTAAGCCGTAGACCCTTGCCTTGAGCTGAAGAGTGCAGGGAAAGTGCCTAGGCCCAGAGTTCAAGCCCCACAACAGACAAAAAAAAAATAGATAAACCATTTATATGAATAATTTGTCCAATAAATAGCTTCTGTGGTTCCCACCAACATATATAGGTGATCACAGGAAACCCCTGAGCCGTTTTGTCTATGACTTGTTGTTTCTGTTCTCTGCAGGATGGCTCTATGGTGGAGAGTTTCTTCTTTTCCACATCTTTTGTTCTGTTTTTAAATCTGTTGACTATGGACATTTTCCCCAAAGTAGCTGGGTTTCATTCCTGTTAAGTCAGTGGCTACACTGAAGCATCTGCCCTGTGGCTGGCATTCCTTTCTGGCTGAGCTCTGAAGCCCCAGGTCCTCTTCATGAGCTTTGCAGGGCTCTCTTCTCCACTGAGATTTCTGCTTGTTCCACTTCTGGGTACATAGGAAATCTTGGTTTTAATGATCTAAGTCTGAGAGAAAGTGCTTCAAGTCTTTGCTTCTGCTATTAAGGATGGAACAGAAGGCCCTTAGCTGGGAGGTTGCACCAAACGCAAACATACCTCAAGGGAGGATGTGAGAAAAAAGATGGTTTAGACTGGCATGAGAGCAGAGGGTAGCCTACAGGGAAAACAAAGTGGATGAAGCCTGGTGCCAATAGCTCGTACCTGTAATCCTAGCTACGCAGGAGACTGAGATCTGACAATTATAGTTCCAAGCAGATCCATGGGACTGTCATTCTCCAATTAACTAGCGAAATGCCAGAAGTAAAGCTATGGCTCAAGTGGTAGAACTCCAGTCTTGAGCCTAAAAGCCAAGGGAGAATAAGAGGCCCTGAGTTCAAGTGTCAGTACTGGCAGCAGCAACAGGAGCAGGTATCTGTGGCTCATGCCTGTAATCCTAGGTCTTTAGGAGACTGAGATCTGAGGATTGTAGTTTGAAGCCAGCCTTGAGAAAAAAAATGCTAAAGGAGAACAGTTGGGTCCTGAGTTTAAATCCCAGTACTAGGCAACAAACAATCAAAAATGTAAGGTAGACTTTAGGTCAAATTCACTTTAGGATAAGTGCTTCCTTTTATTCGACACCTGGTACATTTTGTCATTCGTGTGATTACACTGTTTTATCAACCTGGCCAGAGATTTTAAGGTTGGTCATTGATGTCTGGGCATCACTTCAGAGAAAGACAGATTCTTCTCCATACTCCCTTCAAGACAGGTGTCTGTCCTTGAGATAAGTATTTGAAACACTTTTTATGCCAGGAAGCATCATCTTCCCAGGTGTTTTTCCAGGGTAAATGTCTTTCTTTAAGAGATCTTCACTCAGTTTCCAGAGCACATTAATTATTTGGAGCAAGCAGGCAGGGTCAGGGTGAGAGAGCTTCTCTTCTTCCCCCCATCTTCGCTACCCCCCATCTCTCACTTTCTTGCTTTGTTCTAGTACTGCAGCTTATGAGGGAATATAAGGCCCAAAGCAGGGGCTGGGAAGGTGGCTCAGTGGTAGAGCACTTGCCTTGCATCCCTAAGGCCCTGGGTTCGATTCCTCAGCACCACATAAGCAAAAAGAAAAAAGCCAGAAGTGGCACTGTGGCTCAAGTGGTAGAGTGCTAGCCTTGAGCTGAAGAGCTGAGGGACAGTGCCCAGGACCAGATATCGGGCCCCACGACCGGACCCCCCCCCCCCCCAAAAAAAAAAGCCCAAAGCAAAGCAGACAGTGCTTCTGTGTGTGGTTTTTTTTTTTTGTTGTTGTTTTATTTTTATGCCAGTCCTGGAGCTTGAACTCAGGGCCTAGGCAGTGTCCCTGAGCTTCTTTTGCTCGAAGCTAGCTCTCTACCACTTGAAACATAACTCTACTTGGAGATGAGAGTCTCACAGACTTTTCAGCTTGGTCTGGCTTTGAACTGTGATCCCCAGATCTCAGCCTCCTCAGTAGCTAGGATTATAAGTGTGAGCCACCAGCACCCAGCTTTCTTCTGTGGTTCTAAAGAAGCTACTCATGAGTACAGTGTGTCTGAATTCCTGGTATGCTATTTCTCATGCCTCATTTTCCCTGTATCCTGCCTCCTGCCTCCTTCTTGCCACCATGCCCCTCCCCACTGTCTGCTTGCTCTCTCAGTCTCCAGCTCTCTGCTGACCTCTCCCTTTTCTATGACTTATTACCCTTGTGTTTCTCAAAGATGGGGACTCTTCCCTACTCAGACAATGTCTTCTGTTTTCCTGATTCTCTTCAACTCTCAGCTCCAAGCATCTCTTCCAACAGAGCCCCTGGCACGCTGTGTTGTATTTCTCTCTTGAACACTGATTCCCTTCAGACTATAACCTCTACTTAGCCAAGGACTGTCTTTTCCACCTCATTTTCCCTAGCATCAGGACAACGCCTGGTACCCAGTTGCAGAATCAAACAGAAGGCAAGCTGGTCACTCCCATCAAAGAGCCACAAACCCCAAGGCCAAAGCAACTTGGTCTTCCAATCCACCCCACCTCCCTGACCTCCCAAGTCCCAGTGGAAGCTCTGTCCACAGAGTGCACTCAGGTGGCCAAATCTTGACATGCTGTCACATTCCCTCTCGGTCCTGGCAGGTGCTCGACGTTTCTGGAGCAGATATGCTGGCCAAGTCAATCGCCAACTGCCAGGTGGAGCTTCTGGAAAACTGTGGGCACTCAGTGGTGATGGAGAGACCTCGGAAGACAGCCAAGCTCATTGTTGACTTTTTAGCTTCTCTGCACAACACAGACAACAACAAGAAGCTGGATTGAGCCTCCTTCTGCAGCCTGCAGCCTGCATTCTGCACAGCATCAGCCCCCAGAACCTGACGCGGCCACCACTCTCAGGAATCCTGCCCCAAACGCGGTTGGAGCACCAGCGCCAGTGTCCCTGAAGAAGCCAGGCCCCTGTTTCCTATATCCTTGATTCCATAGAGCTTCAAGAGCCACAGGAAATCTCTAAGATCTTTTTTGTCCCTCCCCCAAATGGAAACCCAAATGGAACAAAATAAGAAAGCCTAGCCATGAAACCTACTGAGGTCTTCAATTTCTGTCACTGACAAGCTTGTGTTCAATGGCCACCTTGGCCCATCATCATCAAGAATATTTTCTTTAAGACACTGCTTCACACACTCAAACTCAAGGTATTTTTTTTTTTGTGGCTTCAGATATATCCCCTGCATGGTCAGTGTTTTTTACACGAGCGTTAGTCCTCATTCTCTGAACCTTCTTGTTTAGATCAAATTCACATTTTGCATAGAGACTTTCAGAAATGTGAATGCAGCAATGAGCTGCAAGATCAGGAAGAAAGTAGAAATGGCCCCCACCTCAGAAAGAGAAAGAAAGAAAGAAAGAAAAGAACAGAACTCCAGGGGTTGGAGGCATGGCTCAGGTGATGTGAGTGCCAGCCAATGAGTGACTGTGTCAGACACTGAGTTCGAGTTCCAGTTTTGGCCAGAAAAAAAAAGTAGAAATTGTTCCTATCTTTTGCACTTGTGGAAATGTGTGTGGTGGAGAGGGGCTTTGTCCATGGCCAGCTTGCAGATGGACCGAAGTAGCAGAAAACACAGGTGGGTGGTTTATTTGGCACCTATGAGCCAGGTAGATTGTGAGGGACCCCAGAACAGTTGCAGAATAAGAATACCTGGTGAGGTGGGTTTCCCAGGAATGATTCCTGATTTCTAAAAAGAAGAGTAATAAAGCAATAATGTTCTAGACATCTAAGTAATCAGACTCAAGTTCTAAACATGTGCAACTCATGGGGACTCTTTTCTATTTTGCTGTGCTACTGAAAAACTCTTGGATGTAAAATACTAGTTTGTTAATGAATTCTGTGAATTCTGTGAACAGTAGCGTGATTGAAAATAAGTCAAAACAGTTGTAAAAGTGACTACAAAGATGTGAAATAAATTTAATAAGTCTGTATACGCAACATGTAGGTGGTTTCTCCTTCTGAGCTCTTACTTAAGTGCAAGGCTATGAAGCACTTATGTTCAATTTCTTGATTGTTTTATATGTTTGTTTTGCTATGCTAGAGATCATACCTAGGCTAGCGCACACCTCAGGCAAGTGATCTACTACTATCCCAAGAGCTATCCCCAGCTCTTGATTGTTTTGAGACAGGGTCTCACTATGTTTTCCGGGTAGCCTCATTCTCTGTGTAGGCCAGGCTGGCCTCTAACTCTTGATTTTCTTGTCCCTAACTGAGTGCTGGGATAACAGGTATGAACCACTAGGTCTGACTAAAGTGTATGTGTGGTGCTTAATTACGTAGACTTTGAAAGTCTTTGCTTGCATGTTTTATTAGTTTTATTAAATGAAACTGCAGTACTTACCCAACTGAAATTATATATCCGAAGCAGAAGTCATCAAACTATCCTTTTGACTGTCTTCTATTGCATTTGGTTGCCCCTAAACAACCCAAGAGCTTGATTCTTTCAAATCTTTACATAGAATCTGAAGCTAAGTAGCTATGGGAATAAGGTAAGAAGAACCTTGTGGTTTCAATGGGAATTTAATGCATTGGGTTTTATCCTCCCCCATCCCCCCCCCCCCCCCCCGCTTTTTTTTTTTCTGCTAGTTAGTACTGGGATTTGAACTTGCACTTGCTAGACACATGCTCTATTGCTGAGTCATGCTTCCAGGACTGTTCATTGTGTGTGTGTGTCTGTGTCTGTGTCTGTGTGTTTGTGTGTCTGTGTGTTTGTGTGTCTGTGTGTGTCTGTGTCTGTGTGCTGGTCTGAAACTTGAACTCTGAAGCTAAACACTGTTCCTTAGCTTTTTCAGTCAACACTGGTGCTCTGCTCTTTGAACCACAGCTCCACTTCCATCTTTTTTCTGGTTAATTGGAGATAAAGAGTCTCACCGATTTTCTTGCCCCATGCTAGCTTTGAACTACAGTTCTCAGATCTCAGAATAATGAATAGTGAGGATTTACAGGTGTGAGCCCAGCACCTAGCTTAGCATTGTTTTTTATTTTTTACTTTTTAAATTATTTTTATTTTTTATTGTTATTATAAATGTGATGTACAGAGAAGTTACAGTTATGTAAGTCAGATAATGAATACATTTCTTTTTGGACAGTGTCACTCTTTCCTGCTTCAGTATGCCTGGACAGCAAGTCTTCATATTTACATTTCCCATAAAGGAAGGATAACAGAGGCGTACCACTATGTTTAGCTACTGACCAAGAAAGGGTTTATTTATTTATGTATTGCCCAGGATGGTCTTGAACCTGTCTTCCCTATCTCAGCCTCCTAAGCAGGTAGTATTACAGGCATAGTCCACCAGTGTCTTGCTGAGTGATCATGGCAGTGTTTTGCCTTTGGCTCCTGGAGGAACCTCCCCTTCCTGGGTGCTGAATTTTTGGTCTCTAAATCCTCAAGGCAATGTACAGGAACCTTAGGCCATGTTTAGGAGAGGAGAGATCCCACAGGCAATAGATAGGAGAGAAGATTCTAACAGATTTTGACAATGTCAGTGACCCAAGGTCAAAGCTGGCAGGGAGGGAGAGGAGCTAGGTCAGCAATCTCTTCCCAGAGCTCTCAGAGCTAGGTGTGATTTGGGTTCAGAAATATTCACATTGAAAGGGTCCTGTGGTGTGTACCCCATAAATCATGTAACGCCCTATCTACATGTATGAGCAAATGAGGGCATTCTTGTATTTTCTGTGCAATATACATATAATGGGACAAGAACCCTAGCAAGCTTCTCCTGAGTTAAGATTAAGTCTTGATTGTAATATGTAGTTTCCAGCCTCCCACCCCTACCCTCGGGTTGCAGATAAAGATCAGGAGCCTGCATTCCAGTTGCAACTCTCCTCCATAGGGCAGGAAAGCACCCCAAGTCTGTTCCCACTTGAGCAGAGCAGCCTGTAGATGGTGTGCTCTACAGCTCCCTCTTGTGCCTAACAGCAGCATATGCAGATAGTATACTTCGTAACCATTACTGTTAGAAAAGTGGTGCTTTGTCACTTTAAATAGAAACAAATGCTAAAAGGAGGAAGTCTCCTACATCCTCTGCACATCCCACCTTTCCTCCACTGGCCTCTTGGGATACTTGTGTGAAACTGGAGCTCTAGGCCACAGGCCCAACTCCAGGTATTACAAGTACCAGGTTTGGTCAGGTTTAGTATATGGGACAGGCATGCTGTGGGAATTGGCAAAAAAGCATTTTAACCCATCTTTGGGGGCACAGACATGAGTTTTAGGGTGTGTGTGTGTGTGTGTGTGGTTTGCCAATACTGGGGCTTGAACACAGGGCCTGGGCACTGTCCCTTAGCTTTTTCACTCAATGCTGGTGTGTTACCACTTGAACCACACTTCCGGCCTTTTGTTAGTTGGAGATAAGAGTCTCATGAACTTTTCTGTCCAGGTTGGCTTTGCACCATGATTCTCAAATTAGCTTAAATAGAATTGTGGTTAGAGGAGAAAGGTGATGCATAATTAAGCAGTCCCAAGCAAAATGTGGCCTGGTTGATCAGGATCTCAGTTCTGGTTCTGCAGGGGATGCTGGAGAAATTGTCACTGATATCACTGGAGGGGAGAAATCTGGTTCCCATAAGGTGATTCCTGCTGCTCCAGGGTGCAGCTTCATTATGGCAGTTAACTGTCCTTATTTGGGGGGTAGTCTATCCTGCAAGACTCTTCTGAACCTTTCCTTGGGGTCATTTCTTTCCTTGTCATAAAGATGTTATCGATCAGTCCTGTGCTTCCTGGATTCCAAGGTGGCTGCAAGGTGACCGTGCAGAGAATGGTTCACAGCAGAGGCAGATTCAAAATGGAGGCAGAGAGGCCAAGATTTTCTCCTGCTTTTAGTGAATTCATGTAGTCACAAAAGGAGCCAGTGATTTTTCAGTAAAAAGTAGTAGTTTCTAAGTATGTGTTACACATGTACTTACATATACACACGTATAAACAGAGATCTGTGCAGATGCTTTTGTGTTTTACATCACCGTTGTTATGAACTATATTTTAGGACTCTTCTAGATTCAATCCATAAATCCCCAGGTTCCTGTAATGGACATGAGAATCTTCCAGAAAAAAGCACAGGGACCCCTCTGAGCCCCTGAATTTTAAGAAAGGATCTCAGGCCTCTCCAGAAATAATCTTCATGATTGCTAGATAGTTATTGCCCCCAAATTCCCCATTCCTCTGGGTCCTGGAGCTTTTAGGGGAGAGAGGTTTCTAAGCTACTTCTGAAGCAAGTGTCCTCCCTTATTGAAATGTATTTCAGAGCTTCTGGATGATACAAAGTTACAGTGGCTGGCTGCATTGACAGTCCACACACAGAAGGGGAGTTGTGGCTTGAAGAAGAGAAGACAGCAAGGACATCCTCCGATGGCAGGGGCCCAAGTGGAGCACACTGGGGCAGTGGCCAAGCTGTCTTGCTGCTGCCCCCTTTGCCTGCCTAGGCGATGGGGGTGGTTAGGATCTGACAGTCTAGGTCGGAGCTTCTAGTCTATTTCTATTGTCTGGTGGACTACCCCACTGTCCCTCCTCAGGAGTGCTGCTCATATCCCTCCAGCTCTTCTTTACTGGTGGTCCCCCAACCCTGCTGAGAGTGTTGGCTGCTAGGGGCTCACAGAGAACCACCCTCAATTGATCAGGCTAGAGAGACTGCCCACCTCACATCCCACTTCCCAAGGGTGCCAGATTTAAAAACAAAAACAAAAAACGGATGCCCAGTAAAACTTTTATTGCAGATGAACAATGAGAACATTTAGTAAAAGGATGTCCCACTGATTTTTCACTTTTTAATTTTTATTATGTATTTTATTTATGTATTTAGTCAGTTCTGGGGTTTGAACTCAGGGCCCTGGGTGCTGTCCCTGAGCTTTTGTTGCTTAAGGCTAGCACTCTACCACTCAACCACTTGAGCTCCACTTCTGGTTTTTTTTTTTTTTTTTGCTAATTAGAGATCAGAGTCTCATGGGCTTTCCTACTCAATCTGGCTTTGAATTGTGATCCTCAAATCTCAGTCTCCTGAGTAGCTAGGATTACAGACATGAGACACCCTTGCCTGGGCCATTGATTGTTTTTATAAAAAAAGAATCCCTTCCACCCCTCCACTAGAGACAAGCACATTTTCTCTCCCTTCCTCCCTCCCTTCCTTCTCTTTCCTTTCTTTCTTCCTTCCTTCCTTCTTTCCTCCCTCCTTCTTATATTTTCATTTGCTATAGTTGGCTCCAAAGGAGAAGTAAATAGGCATATCCTCAAAAGACCTTAAAGACTCCAAGACTTCTGGTATTATTTATGCTCTAGTTCTTCCACCACCAATGTGTGGAATTTAGCTCCCTCACCTGCTGAATCCTGCTTTCAACCTCTGTCCTGGGATAAACAGGAGCATTGCTTTCCTAAATCACAGGTGAGCACTTCCCAGAGCTTCTTGTTTGGAGAGGGTGCTCTGAGTCGCCTCAGAGGAGCAGCTTGCAGCCTGATTACACACAAGGGAGGGATAGGATACAGCTGTTAAGGTGCCAGGACCTCTTATCACCTTAGACAAATGACTTCGCTCCTTATGCTTCATTTTCGCCATCTGTGCAAGGTGTTAATGACTGTACAGCGAGTGGATGGGATCATATGCACAAGCTATCTGGCAGCTGGCCGGTTTCCTAATGGAAACCATGGCTGCACTTCTGTAGCTTTTACCTTATGATTATTTTCATTTCCATTATCTTCCCTTTACAGAGTTTGTGGACACAGACATGAATCCCACTGGGGGAATGGATGATTGTGGGACTAGAATTCCTCTTGGACCCTTCTCATGCCTTTTCTTTCCCAAGTTGGAAAAGCATAGCAGGAGGGGGTGCACACAGTTCAGGATGACTTAACTCTCTCTTGGCTGCCATACCTTCCAGTTCTGTTTCCCTTCAACTTTGCTGTGAATTACAGTGATTTGAAGGGCCTCCTAGATACCCAACTCCCCCATCCCCAGGCAACTAGCTCCACCCAATGCAATTTAGTATGTAAATATCTCTATATCATACCCCTGGGGACAACTAAAAAAAAGTAAAAAGGTGGGCCAGATGTGATGGTGTACACCTGTAATCCCAGCCAGGAGATTTGATACCCTGTCTCCAAATAAACAAAAGGAAGGAGGAAGAAAGGAAGGAAGGAAAGAGGGAAGGGAGGGAAGGAGGGAGCTGGAGGGATGGAGGAAGACAATAGTTACATCTGGAGAATGGGTGAAAGGAAAGTTTACTTTTCCTTGTTTATCCTTTAATATCAGTTGAGATAATAAATTGTACATTTACAAAACCCATTAAAATGACAAATGTTAGTTGAAAAACAAAATCTCAAGGCCAATTTCATGTGCTTTTTTATAATTCCAAGGATCTCCTTTATCCTCTACTCTGCCTTAAGAAGATAGTGCTGGCGGAAACTGGGCAGCAGGAAAGGCACTTCCTTCTCAGGGTCTAAGTACAGAAGTGAAAATTCACCAAGGTTCTTTGAAGACCAAAATATATGAGCTGCTCAGGCTTTCTGGGCCACACAGCCTGGCAGGAAAAGTTTGCCAGGTGGCTGCCTTTGAGAGAGTCTTTGCCATTAGTGTTTCCTGGGTGACAGACACTATACTATCAACTATTTTTTTTCACAGCTCTGTGAGGAAAATGTTAATTATCTTTCCATGTAAGAAATGCAGAAGCTAGAGAAGTGCCAAAAAGAAAAAAAAAAAAACAGATTCAAAATGAGTCTGGAAACTTCTGAAATCCATTTATTTATTTTATTTTGCCAGTCCTAAAACTTCAACTCAGAGTTTGAACCCTAGCCCTGAGCTTTTGTGCTCAAGGGTAGCACTCTAATACATGAACCATAGCAGCACTTCCAGTTTTTTAATCGTTAATTGGAGATAAGAGTCTCATAGACTTTCCTGCTCAAGAAGGCTTTGAATTGGATCCTCAGACAGACCTGTCTCCTGAGTATCTAGGATTACAGGTGTGAGCTACTGGCACCCAGCCAATCCACCAACTTTTTTCTTTTTCTTCCTTCCTTCCTTCCTTTCTCTTTCTTTCTTTCTTTCTTTCTTTCTTTCTTTCTTTCTTTCTTTCTTTCTTTCTTTCTTTCTTTCTTTCTTTTCTCTCTCTTTCTCTCCCTCCTTCCCTCCCCCCCCCCCATTTTGAGAAATAAAATGCCACTGTCAGAGGTTAGTGTTGATTTCTCTTCCACTTATTCCCCATCCTGTCTTTGGGGGGCGGGGGAGTGGGGAAGGGAAGCAGAAGTCACAGGACCAGAGAGTGTGGCCAAGGCAAGGATTCATGAAGCTTCAGCAAATTCATGAAGCTTCAGTATATGTGCTTGCACACGATGGTACTGAAGCTTGAACTCAGGGCCTGGGCACCGTCCCTGAGCCTTTTTACTCAAGGCTGGTGTTGTACCATGTGTGGCACATCTCCATTTCTGGCATTAATTGGTTAACTGGAGAAAAGCATCTCAAGGACTTTCCTGTCCAAACCTCAATCCTGAGTGGCTAGAATTACAGGTGTGAGCTATGGGTACCTACACATGGTCGATTTTTTTTTTTTTTTTTTTTTAGAAAATTTAGGGAAACCAACCTCTTTGCCTCAGTTACAGGCTTGGCCGTGCAAGGTGTACCTTCATCCCCAACCCAGGCTGAATTTATGAATGAACAATTCAGTAACTATATGTGGAGTGGTGACTGGGTGCCAGGGCCTGGAATGCAGCAAGGAGCCACCATAGGCAAAGTCTCGCCCTCATGGGGTCTATGCTCAAAGTCTCTCTCCAGCTCCTCAACTGGTTGTAAATTGTGTGGAGGGCACTGGATTAATCAGTCTGTTTTCCCACTTATAAATGTGTGACGTTGGCAAATAACTTAGCCTGTCATCATACTGGGTTCCACCTCTGCAAAATGGGGATGGTTATGATAATTGCTAGCTCCGTCGACTGAGTGAGGGTTCCACAAGGTAGCATAGCAGGAGAAATCAGGGAGAGTGAGGCAGGGGAAACTGGAGCAAGAATTTAGAGATAAACATTGTATTCGTGAGTAGCTTGATTACAAGGCACTCCCTCATTAAACTGCAACATATACTTTTTTTTTTTTTGTCGGTAGTGGGGCTTGAACTCTGGGCCTGGGCGTTGTCCCTCAGCTCTTCAACTCAAGGCGAGCGCTCTACCACTTGAGCTACAGCGCCACTTGCAACATATGCTTAAAAATTATATCCTTTCTCATTCTTTGTTCTCGCCTGCTTGCCCAAATGATTACTACACTCTGGGAACTGAGCAAGAATATTTTAAAGACACTTACCCATGGTAAAGGACTCCGTTGATCACATAACTGTTTTCAAAAAGGGAAATAAATTATCTTAAGGAAAGCCATCAGCTTATAAGCAGCATCTGATGATATCTGACCTTTATTTAAAAGGGAGCTCAAGGAAAACATCGATGTCACAGTGACCTCAATTTGGTAAGCTGGCCAGAAATCTCTGGGCCCAATGATTAATGTCAAAAAGGGCAACAGCAAGACTGACAATCCAGTGTGTGTCCGGAACCAAGGGGAACACTCATCTCCAGGCACATTCAAGCCAAATCCCCTAAAAGCTTTTTTTCCCCACATGAACTACTCCTGGCACCTGTTATCAGATGTAACTACCCCATTTCTGGGTGTGTACTATCTTTCTTTTGTTTTACTAATAAGCTTTCTTGGTCTTGATGTGTTGTATACTGAAATTATTCTCTATCGTTTTCAGAACTGGGGTTTTAACTTAAGGTCTTGTGCTTGCTAGGTAGGTGCTTGAGGCATACTTCCATCCCTTTCCACTTTGGTTATATTTTGGAATCTTGCCTGTTTGCCTCAACTTGTCTAGAGCACAATCATCCTATTATTATCACACCCAGCTTATTGGTGGCAATGAAGTCTTGTTTTCGTTCTTGCCCAGACTGGTAAAAAGGAGATTCTCTTGATCTCTACTTCCTGAGAAGCTGGGATTACAGGCATGGACCACCACAACTAGCCCTAATTTTTTTTTTTTTTTTTGTCGGTTGTGGTGGGGCTTGAACTCTAGGGCCTGGGCGCTGTCCCTTAGCTCTTCAGCTCAAGGCTAGCGCTCTACCACTGGAGCCACAGTGCCACTTCTGGCTTTTTCTGCTTATTTGGTGCTGAGGAATCGAACCCAGGGCCTCATGCATGCAAGGCAAGCAATCTACCACTGAGCCACCTTCCCAGCCCAGCCCTAATTTTGTGTGTGTGTGTGATATCATGAGCTTGGGACTCAAAGGCTAGGTAAAAATCTCCTCCTTTTTGGAACCCTATGTAGAGCCTCACTAAGTCAGGTAACAAAACCTTTTAGATAATGCCTGGCACAAAGTAAGTAATACACACACATATATATATATATATATATATATATATGTATACTATATTATATATAGTATACATATATAAATAGTATACCTATATACATATATGTATAATATATAATTTGTTATATATTATACATATAAGCTATGATGATGATGATGATTTAATACATGACTTGTCCCAGCAATACAGGTGCCATTGTTTTTTATTCCCCTGAAGTTTCCAGCACCTAGAATAGTGCCTAGTAGTATATAATGAGGTTCTCAAGAAATTATTGGTGAAACAATGAGTAGGCTTACATTTGGAAATACAACCAACTGGGTGTTCCCATGTCAACTAGGATAAAACACACGGAGCCACCAGGGACACAGAATGGGCACTGTCTTGGAGAGCGCTTAACACAGGAGGTGTTCTCAACAGGAGATTGCAGGGCTGGGCACTGAGCCCGATGGGCTAATGCTTGCCTGTCAGGTACTCAACCCTGGGTACATGCTTAACCATGGAGAAAAAAAGAGACCCCAAAATGGAAGCGTGGATGCTAGATGTGAATTTGACGGAGAATGAACACATAAGAAAACACACGGCTAGGAACGCCACCTTTCCCAGGGCCAAGCTCCCACATCCTGTGGATAATTGCACGCAATCTCCAGAGCGGGCAGTAGAGGGCGCTGCGCACGGCTGCCCTCGGGACCTGCCCACGCTTCACGCCGCCGTGGTCGCGGGGGAGAGGGAGGGCGAACTGCGCGGCGACGTCATATCCGCCTGCACGTGTGGCGTCGGGGGTCTGGACCTAGCCTAATGTAAACACGCCGGGGCCCTCTGGTGGCTGCTTGGTGGCGCCAGACGTTGGGGAATTTCATCTGAGGCCCAAAGTCCAAGCAGGCGACTGGTGAGTGGACCGAGAACGGACCCAGAAGGAATCGCGGGGTCCCTGGGAAGAGCGTTGTGTAAGTCGCCTGCGCGTGCGCGCCAGTAGCGCACATGCGCCGTGGCGGCCGCCCTGAGGGGCTGAGGGGCTGGGAAGGGGTCGTCCCGAGGGCCGCGCGGGCCCGGGTTCCCCCTCCATCCTCCTCCGCGACTGCGGTGCCGCGTCTCGGGGCGGCCGCGAGAGCCGAGCGGCTGGGTGCCGGGCAGGGCGCATGCGTGCAGCAGGTGGGCGCTGAATCCCGGGTGGGTGTGAATCGAGCCAAGTTGCACCCAGCCTAAGCGCCCGACGGAGGAGGCTGAGCTTTAACCGAGGGAAGGAAACACACCCGTCGGCCGCGCAGGTCTAGGCGCCTGGGGGAGCGGTGAACCCGGCAGGCAGACCCCGGTCTCCGGGCGTGCCCCGGCTGTGGCGGGGTGGGAAGGGTGGAGACTAAGAATAAGTGAAATTCTAGCCCCTGGCTCACGCCTGTGTCGCTAGCTACACCGCAGGCTGAGATCTGGGGATCCTGGTCCCCAGCCTGCCCCGGGCGGGAAATGCCATCAGACTCCTTAATCTTCAGTTAATCACCAAAAAGTCTGTAGCGGAGCCTGTGGCTCCTGTGGTAGCCTTCAAAAAAAGAGCCAAAGGATGCTGGGCGCCGGTGGCTCACGCCTATAATCCTAGCCACTCTGGAGGCTGAGATCCGAGGATCGAGGTTGGAAGACCACTTGGCTTGAAAGTCCGGGAGATTTATCTCCAGTAAGCTACTCAGAAAAAGCCTGAGGTGGAGCTATTAGAGCACCACCCTTAAGCACAAAGAGGCTCAAGGAGAGTGCCCAGGCCCTGAGTTCAATCCCCAATATCATACACAGAATGCAAAGATAAAAAAAAAACAAACACTGTAATTACGTCAGGAGGTGGCTGATGATGGTAGGAGGGGTAAAGGACAGTGGGGACTAGGCCTGTGAAGTTTCCCTTTAAAAGTAGAGACTCTTCACTTAAGGTCCTTGACTTCGATCACAGAATAAGAGTTTTTGAACAAGTCATAATGGTAAGAAAGCTTGGCGGACCGTTATTAAGTAAGCAAGCAGGCAAGTAGGCATGCAGACAGGAAAAGCTGGAGCTGAGGCATAATGGCTGGAGCAAGACTGCTGTGAAAAACGGTGTGGTGGAGGAGATTGAGCCCATTGCATCTAACGATGATGGGCTTCTTGCTGGTAGGGCTCCAAGGAGGTACAGGGCATTGCAGCATAAGGAATAGGAAGCATGTGTGTGTCCCTTTGCTCTCCTCCTCTTTCAGAGCCACTAGAGTTTAATTATGGGGCCCTTTCCTGCAAGCCCCACCTCTGAACAACTTAAGTTTGCATCTAAATACCTGACTTGGGCATTAGATTCCAGCATGAGTTTAGGAAGGGACATGAGTTATTCAAATGACCCCAATTCCCAGTTCCAAGGGTTGCTTGATCTCTGGGTGAGAACCACAGACCTAGGAGGGGAGGGACAGCAGACGTACCATTCTTCATTGTCCTGTTGTATTTTATATTGAATGAGTAAACAAGGAGACCCACAGATTTTACCTTTTATGCTTTTCCTTTGCATTTACAGGCAGAGCAGTCTTTTTTTTTTTTTTAATGATTGGATTATGTCAGTTCTGAAGTAGAGTGATCTTGAGGGAGTACAAGGTGGTTGGACTCTTTGGGTGCCTTGGGCTAGTGTTACTCATCTTTACTAATTCTCATCTTCTCAAGGCTCAAGCCTGTGATCCTAGCTACTTGGGAGGCAGAGATGAGGGATTGTAGTCAAAGGCCAGCCTAGGCATAACAAAGCCTGTAAGAGTCCATCTCAACAAGGGGCTGGACATGGTGGTGTGTCTTCTCATCTGTCATCCCAAGCAAGGTGGGGAGGTGCAAGTAGGAAGAGCTCAGCCTAGTCTGGGCTTAAAGTAAGACTCTGCTAACACTGGTAGGAGCTGTAGCCAGGCGCCAGTGGCTCACGCCTATAATCCTAACTACTCAGGAGGCTGAGGTCTGAGGATTGTCATTCAAAGCTGCCAGGGCAGAGGAGTCTCTATGAGACTCACCTCCAATTAACCCCTCAAAAACCAGAAGTGGGGGCTGGGAAGGTGGCTCAGTGGTAGAGCGCTGGCCTTTCATGCATGAGGCCCTGGGTTCGATTCCTCAGCACCACATAAGCAAAAAGAAAAAAGCCGGAAGTGACGCTGTGGCTCAAGTGGTAGAGCGCTAGCCTTGTGCTAAAGAGCTGAGGGACAGTGCCCAGGCCCAGAGTTCAGGCCCCACAACCGGACCAAAAAAAAAAACAAAAACCAGAAGTGGTGCTGTAGCTCGAGTGGTAGAGCATTGGCCTTGAGTACAAAGAGGATCACAGACGGCGGCAAGGCACTGAGTTCAAGCCCCACAGCCAACAAACAAAACAAAAACACAAAAAAGTAGGGGCTGGAGGCATGGCTCTAGGGGTAGAGTGGCTTCCTAATAAACAGGACACCCTCAGTTCAATCGTGAGTACTGCAAAAAAAGGAGGGGCGAGGATAGTTTTTACTGTTAGGTAAATTAAATAGGTAGGTTTAATTAGGTAACCAATAAAGAGAGCACCACATGATATTCAGGCAGGAAGAGAAGTTTATTTTACTGAACTGCTGCCCCTCTGTGCATGGTAGAGAAGCATTACAGAAGGGACAGGCTGATGTCCCATCTGGGTTTAAATAGAGAAGGGGTGGGGAGAAGGTGCTGCCAGGTGAGGGAAGGTGTGGCCACACGGGATGTGACCTCAGGGCCTGGGACCCTCCCTCAGTCCCATGGGAGGCATGATGGGCTGGGGGCAGGGAGGAAAGGTAGGGGTGGCCCAGGAAGTGACCTGGAGGGGAAGGTGACTCCCTCCAGGTATGCCAGATACCTAGGTGATGCAGGTACTGGGCCAGACTTAGCCAAGAGGAGGGAGTTGTCTGCTCTGCCTTCCCAGGGCAGACCTTACATTTATGTCATGTCATAGGATCACATTGAAGATTTAGACATTGGCTGGCAAGGTGGCTCGGTGGTAGAGAGCTTGCCTTGCATGCACGAGGCCCTGGGTTCGATTCCTTAGTACCACATAAGCAGAAAAATCTGGAAGTGGTGCTGTGGCTCAAGTGGTAGAGCGCTAGCCTTGAGCTGAAATGCTGAAGACAGCACCCAGGCCCAGAGTTCAGGCCCCACAACCAACCAAAAAAAAAAAAAAAAAAAAATGGAATTAGACATTAATGTATGTGAGACTCTTAACCCAGAGCTGGGTGTCCAATAAAGAAAAATGTTAGCAAGAGTTACATTACTAAGATTTAAATTGCACACCGATCTAGCATGTTAACAATGTAGAAACTCCCTTATGTGTGGATGAGTAACCTTAGTCTGACCAGAAGTAGAGGTGAATCCAATAGGAGGTCTTTTAAAAGTCAAATAGGCTGCCCAGGTGCCAGTAGCTCATGTTTGTAATCATAGCTACTCAGGAGATTGAGTGAAATCCAGAGGATTGAGGTTCAAAGCAAGTCTGGGCAGAAGAGGAGAGACTCCATCTCCAAAAGCCATGCTAGAGGCATGGCTTAAGTAATAGAACTCCAGCTGAGCAGTTGTAAGGTTCTGAGTTCAAGACCCTGATACTAGCAAAAACAAAAAAAGATCAGGTTGTTATTACAAATGTGGAAGATAGCTTGTACCGGTAATTACTAGTCCTTTTGACTTGCTGTAGGTGTGATCAGCGTTGGAAAAGATGCCATTGCCCGCTACCACATATGAAAGAGTAGTTTACAAAAACCCCTCTGAGCACCACTACATGAAAGTCTACCTGTAAGTTCAATTTCCTAAGTTCTGTTTGACATTATTTATATGAATCTGAAAAACATAAACTGTAGTGTGATGCTTTTTTAATGTTTTTTACAGAGACTTTCAAGATCATGGAGTTGAAGTGAATGTTGCCCAGTTCAAACAGCTGCTTGTGACTGCTCTGAAGGATCTGTTTGGGGAGGTACAGAATCATTTAGGTTAATATTCCTATGATAATTATAAGAAATACAGAGAAGGGTGAAGTGCTGGTGGCTCACACCTGTAATCCTACCTACTTAGGAGGAGATCTGACAATCATGGTTCAAAGCCAACCTGAGCAGAAAAGTCTGTGAGACTCTTGTCTCCAAATAACCACTCAAAAGTGAAAAATGGAGCTGTGGCTCAAAGTGGTAGAGCACTAGCCTTGAGCAGAAAATCTCAGGGACAGCTCCCAGGCTCCACAACTAACAACAACAATAACAAAAATTGAAAAGATGAATTACAACCTGGGGAAAATATTTGTAAACTCACAAAGAGCTGATGTTTAGAATGCACAGACTTCTCAAAACAGTAGCTGGATGCCAGTGGCTTATACCTGTGATCCTAACTACTCAGGAGGCTGAGATATGAGGATTGAGGTTCCAACCCAGTCTGGAGGTGTGGTTCTTGTGGTAGCTCACTAGCCATGAGTAAGAAAGCTGAGTAAGAGTACTAAGCCCTGAGTTCAAACTTGAGTACTAGCACTAGAGGGAGAAAGTCTATATACGTTTGTATGTTTGTAAATAAATAACAGCAAATAGTCCAACTAGAAAATGAGCAAAAACCATGCATAGACTTTTTAATGAACATGTATATTTGGCAGAGAAGCACATGAAAAGATGTTTGGCAGTAGTAACTATTGAGGAAATGTACATTAATAATACAATGTAGTTTGGCTGTGCAGATGACAAATTTTAAAAAATGATAGCATTAAATGCTGGCAGGGATGTGGAGAAATTGGGTCACGTGTACATTGTTGGTGAGAACATGAAATAATGAGGCCATCTGCTACATAAACTAGACATACACCTGCCATACAACCCAGCAATCCCACTTCTGGGCATTATCCCAGAGAAGGGAAAACTTCTTCTCACATAAACTCTATGAACACAAATGATCATAGTGTTTTCATTTCTTTGTTTCTTTTCTTTTTTTGTCTGAGGCTGGCTGGGACTTGAACTTTCCAGTCTCTGACACTTTTGCTCATCGGCTGGCACTCTTCCACCTGAGTCATACCTTCAACCCTGTGTTTTCATTGTAATAATCCCAAACTGGAAATATCCCAGTTGGCCTTCAGAGGGTGAACGAATCCAGACACTTATGTGAGAAAAAAGCTACTACCAAAAGATTATCTCCTAGATGGTTTTGTGCATATAAAATGCTCTTGATGTAAAAAATCATATAATCTGGAGAAAGGTTAGTGTTGCCAGAGGCTGGGGATGGGGAGGGGTAGGTGTGCTCGTGGGGCTTGAACTCTGGGCTTGGGTGCTTTCCCTGAGGTCTTCAGCTCAAGGCGAGTGCTCTGCCACTTGAGCCACAGTGCCACTTCTGATTTTCTGGTGGTTACTTGGAGATAAAAATCTCACAGACTTTGTGCCCCAGCTGGCTTTGAACCATGATCCTCAGATATCAGCTTCCTGAGCCACGGGCTCAAGGCTAGTGCTCTACCTCTTGAACCACAGTGCCACTTCTGGCTTTTTTTTGTCATAAATTGAGATAAGATTCTCACAGACTTTCCTGGCCAGGCTAGCTTTGAACTGTAATCCTCAGATCTCAGCCTTCTGAATAGCTAGGATTACAGGTGTGAACTACCATCACCTGGCTACAAGTTCTTTATCTTGATTGCAGTGGTTGTTTTCTGAAGCTACCTATGTGGTAGAATTATATGGAACTATACATACATGTACATATACATACGTGTACCTATATGTGTAACCGGCCAAACCTTAATAAACTCTGAATTGTTCTCATAGTGATTACAGAAGTTTGCTACTGTACCATTGGTCTACTGTACCATTGCTGCATATTGCTTTGCCATCCCCTCTAAGTCTAATTTTTCTAAATAACAAGCTACAAAGAGATCTGTGTACTTTTATATGTCAAAGGTCAGATTTGGCTTTAGGACACATAAGTGAAATAAAGACATGGGCTCTGCCTTACAGACTAATATTCATTCAGGCCAAAGGAAAACATGTTATATAATTAGTGAGAAGAGAATTGTGAGAAAGGAAGTATGGTGTCCAATATAAGAAAAAGTATAGCAAGCAGGTTGAACCTAATCTTGAAGATCAGAAAAGGATCTTTTCATTCTACCTATATTTTTTATTAGCACGCATTAGTTGTACAAGGGGGTTTCATTGAGACATTTCCATATGTACATACAATGTATCCCAATCAAATTCACCCTCCCCTGTACTCTTCCTGGTAAAACAGTTTCATTAGCTTTCATTGTTCTGTTTTCATATATGCAAATATGCACTTCTTCAACTTAATCATCCTCATTCTCTCCCTCCATTAACCCTTCCCATTCCTGCCAGTTACTCCCCACACCCTATATTCAGAGCCTGTTTGACTTAGGGAAGGGACAGTTAAAACAAAGATTTGGGGTGAGGAGGTATCCACTACATGAAGAGGTATAGGAGGCTTCTAGGCAGAGGGAGCTATAAGCAAGACCAGTGAGTGAAATGCTACATTTCATGGAGGAGAAAAACCTCAATGTTGACAAGTTTTGGTAGTAGTCTGCTAATGGAATTACTCTATACCTAGGTTGGGGCTGCATTACCTGTGGATGTCCTAACCTTTGAAGAGAAGACCTTGTCAGCCATCTTGAGAGTACCTAGCAGGTATGATCGACAGTGAAACATTTCGATATTAGTAGCCAGTGGAGAAACAGCGAGAAGAGTTGCATGCTTGTGAACTCTGAAGAGTTGCATGCTTGTGAACTCGGAGCAGCGTAGGGGAATTTAAACTGGGAAGAATATAAACATTTATCCACTGGGAGCTAATAGTCTACAGAGAGTAAAAGGTGTGATTTGGTTACAACTACTTTCCAATTGATGAAAGTGGTTACAAAGTCAGAAATGTGTATTTTAGAAGCATTCTTAGGGTCCCTTTATCCTTTCCTTGTTTTCACTTGTTTTGTTTGTTTTTGTTTTTCCTTTTTTGGCAGTGCTAGGGTTTGTTCTCACCCTTGCTAGACACGTGCTCTTACCGTTTGAGCTATGCCCCTAACCCTTTCTTGCTTCAGTTATTTTTCAGTTTAGGTTTTGTATTGTTGCTCAGGGCCAGCCTCAGCCTGTCGTCCTCCTGCCTGTGCTTTCCTGGGTGGCTGGGGTGACTGGTGCGTACCACTAAGATGAGAGTCTCCACCTCCTAAATCGGCCACTGTACTTAATTTTCTTTTGCCAGTTCTGGGGCTTAAAGTGGGCCTGAGCACTGTTCCTGAGCACTGTTCCTGAGCACTATTCCTGAGCTTCTTTTTGCTCAAGGCTAGCGCTCTACCACTTGAGCTGCAGCACCATTTCTGCCTTTTTCTGTTTATATGGTACTGAGGAATTGAGCCCAGGGTTTCATGAATGCTAGGCAAGCACTCTACCACTAAGCCACATTCCCAGCCCTTGTTTTTGTCTTTTTAGCTTATGTTTTCTGATTAAGAGCAACCTTTTTCCAGACTATCACAAACAAAATAACTAGGGAAATGTTTCAGGGACAAGTGCTTGTTTACTAATGTTTCCTTGATCTTTCTGCAGTGGTATGGCCAAATTGTGGAGCTCTTTGACCCTGTTAGGATCCTATAAAGGCAAGAAATGTGCTTTTAGAGTAATTCAGGTAAGGGTGATTCTTTTATGGTTTTTAAATGAGACTAAACAGTAGATCAACTGTTTTTTTAATGTATGTGCCTTAATCTTGTGTTTGAAAAAAAAGCTGTAGTGTAGTTAGGTCGTCTAACAAAGGAGGAAAAGAACTCTTCAAACCCAGGGCTTAATTGCTTCTGAAAATGTGAGACAAAGCACTGCAGATTGCACAGGTGATATTTGGGAATTTCCCATATAGAGTTCTCTTGTGATTCATATGATAAATGCTTTAGCCTAGTTTTTTTTAATTAGTATGTACTTCTTAAGTTATGATTGTTGTTGAATCAAGGCTGCATCCCAGCATATTCTTCAAAATGCTACTGTACCCACTTGCTTTGTCCTATAAAGCTAGGCTTTAGGCTTGTTTCTATATTTCCCCTTGTTTCATTGCTGTGTTCTGGTATTGTGTGGACTTCCTCCCTCCCTCCTTCCTTCTCTTCTCTCTTCCTTCCTTGTGACATTTCACACATGTATACAGTGTATCCAATCAATCATATCCCTTCTCAAGATGCATTATATGCATAAGCTGACAGAATTTGTACAACAAAAGATTAAACATATGTATATGTGTATATATCCCCTTCTATCAGCATTAACCTTTTTTTTTTCTCTCTCTCTTGTAGGTTTCTCCATTTCTCCTTGCATTATCTGGTAATAGTAGGGAACTACTATTGGATTGAATAGTCCTCAATCTCGGAAAGCTTTCTCCACTCTCAAAAGTATTTTTGGTGCTTGCATAATTTGAAAACAGAAGCAGGCTAAAAACTCCTGCTGGTGAAATTTGAAGATGCTGAAGATGTTCTGGACAATTTCCAACCAACACCTGTGGTGGCATGGGCTTCGGCGGAGAGTCTGCCTGAGTCCACCAATGCTGACCCCACAGTGCTTTCAGTATGTGTCCCTGCACGTTGGAGACCGGGCTGAGCTCAGCAGGGCCTTCACACACAGGGATGTGACTGTCTTCTCACAATTAACTGGGGATGTCAATCCTTTGCATTTAAATGAAGATTTTGCAAAACATACCAAGTTTGGAAAGCCAATTGTACATGGCGTTCTGATCAATGGACTTATCTCAGCTCTTCTGGGTACTAAAATGCCAGGGCCAGGCTGTGTATTTCTTTCTCAGGAAATTAACTTCCCAGCCCCGTTATATATTGGAGAAGTTGTTTTAGCTTCTGCAGAAGTGAAAAAGCTGAAGCGGTTTCTTGCTGTTATTGCAGTGTCATGTACTGTAATAGAAAGCAAAAAGACTGTTATGGAAGGCTGGGTTAAAGTTATGGTCCCAGAAGCTCCCAGATCCTAAAGTGTGTGTTCAGAGTTGCAAGTTAAGTACCAGTGCTCTGGTTACTAAAGACAGCTGAGGAAATGGGCTGCTCCTCCTTACGAGTGGCTGATAGTCTCCAAAGCCCTATGGGGAAGAGGAGCAGCAGGCCTAGGGGTGTTCCAGTGCCCACTTTTCAGTGGGCACTGACTTTGTACTTTATCCAGACTTGATTTTATCAAGTCTGTCTAGGTTGTTGAAGTTGAAAAAATACTGAGGTTATTTATCTGAACTTATCAAAAAGTTCTACTTTTTGAACTTCAAACATAGATTTGCATTAGATTATACTACCTACATCTCTGCAGAATAAGTTTCTCACAGAATTTCTAACTGTCAAACATTTAATAACTGGAGCGGGGCACTGGTGGCTCATGTCTGCTGCTCAGGAGCCTGAGAGCTGAGGATCACTGTTCAAAGCCAGCTCTGGCAGGAAAATCTGTCAAAAAATAAAATAAAACTGGAACTAGAGCTGTGACTCAGATATTAGAGTGCTTGACTTGAGCAAAAGAAGCTCAGGGACAGCACCTAGGTCCTAAGTTCAAGCCTCAGGGCTAGAATACCTGAAGGTAACAATAGAAGTTGGATATCTTTGAGCACCTAACCTCTAAGTATTCTTAGACCCTTTTCTCAGCCATTTCTAGGTCAGAGTTCTTTTTTCCTGGTATACCAAGATAGTATATTGCTCAACATTTTATGGGACTGCCTTTCAACCGCCTTTTCTGTTTTTAGAGAATAGCTGTGTGCTGACTTGAACTCAGCTGTGTAAAATATATCTCACCTATAGACGGTGATAGCAGGTTATCAGACCAATCTTTTAGCCTTAAACCTGAAGCTGAACCTTTAAGGCAAAGTGTCTGTTGTAAGGATCCAGATTTTCTCCCTCCCTTGAAAATGTGCATTTACGTCACGTAATATAAATACATAAACAAATGCTCATTGTAAAAGGATTGTAAGGAATAAAATGTATAAAGCCAAGAATGGAGGCAAAGTTCTTAAGGTCTGGGGGGTATTGATAGGGAAATGTGCCTAATGTGTTAAAAGTAATGATTATCCCTAAGTAACACTTGTAATTATCTATAACATGCATGTGGTCCGTATATGCGTAACTTTAAATGGTAACTGACCACAGCTGGGTGATTCAGTCAAGAAGACTAGATCAGCCAGGGCATGGTGGTACACGGCTATAATCTCAGCACTTGGGAGGGAGCTTGAAACGAGGATAAGGAATTTGAGACCAGCCTGGGCTACATAGAAACATTGTCTCAAAACAAGATAAACATAAAGGTTATTGGCTGGCTATCCCATGTTTTGTAGTAAAAAGGGTTTATTCCTGCAGAGGGATAAGTAATCACATTTTTAATTATTATTATTTTTTTCTGCAAGTAGAGGAGCAAAATTGATTGGATTATTGGGAAGAATTATTCTTGTCGCTAGAGGGCAGTGATGTGTATAAAGTGAGGTTTTAAACCTGCTTATTGTTAATATCTAGTCTGAAGGTAGGAAGGGAATACCTAAGGAGCAAGGATGCTGTTCTGTGTCTCAGATGGGTAATGCTTCAGGCTGAGATCCACCTAAAGACTCACCTTCAGGTGAGCCACTAGATATGCTGAACATTTGTTAACATCAGATGAGGGAATTTGAGGCCATTGGTGCTTGCTTCATCATCAGCTGGGCTTAGCAGCAGTCTTCAGGCTGTAGCCATAAATGGAGTGTGATGTGATCGTTACTACTACCACCTGAGAAGCTGATTTTCTGTGTTTAATCCTTGAAACAATTTCCCAAAGTTAGGTAGGCATGGGAGTGGCCTAATGCCATGTGACTTGTTCAAGGTTGTATGGCTGAATTAGGATTCAAACTTGAGCCTACCTGGCTCCATAACTTCATTTTTCCAACACAGTGTTTGCTTACAGTGTTCTAATTTCTGCAGCAGTCAGTTGTAATAGCATTTATTTTTTGTTGGTACTGGGGTTTGAACTCAGGGCCCCAAATTCTCTCAGCTTGCTTGCCTGACAGGCATTCCACCAACTGGCCCTGGCTCTCGCCTTGCTTTTTGCTGATAATTGTGGAGATGGTGTCTCATGGCCTCTTCTGTCTGAGGGCAGGTTTCAAATCTTGGCCTTCTATATCTCATTCTCCTGAGTGGCTAGGAGTACAGGTGTGAGCCACTATCTCTCGACTCCTCCTCCTCCTCCCCCCAATACTAAGGTTTGAACTCAGGACTTTGAATTTGTTAGGCAGGTACTTTTTTTTTGCTTGTTTCATCTCCTAGCCTTTGTTGTTGTCTTCTTCTTCCTCCTCCCCCTCCTCTTCCCCCTTCTCCCCCTCCTCCTCCCCCTCCTCCTCCCCCTCCTCCTCCCCCTCCTCCTCCCCCTCCTCCTCCCCCTCCTCCTCCCCCTCCTCCCCCTCCTCCCTCTCCTCCTCCTCCTCCTCCTCCTCCTCCTCCTCTTCTTCTTCTTCTTCTTCTTCTTCTTCTTCTTCTTCTTCTTCTTCTTCTTCTTCTTCTTCTTCGCCTAGGGCTGGCTTGGCAGAGATCCTTTTACCAATGCCTACTATCTGGCTGGTATTACAAGTACATACCATTAAACCCAGCTTGTTTTTATGTGACATCTAACTTTTTGTTGAGGCTAGGCTCAAACTGCAGTCTTCTCAATGTCTTCCTCTGGACTAACTGGCTCATGCAGGTATGTACCACCCAATTTACCTCTTTTTAAAAATTTGAGTCAAACTTAATCCTGCCTCAGCTTTCTGAGTGTTGAGTTAGGCATATAGCACCATGCCCAAACACCTACCATTTCTAAAATTGATATTCAGGGATTATTTGTCTTCAGAGTAGAATCACTTCAGGGATTTGTCTAAACATGAAAAGTTACAGGCAGGCCAAATACTGGGGTGGAAGAAGCATGCCACATCTGACGGCTAGCTGGTTTACACTGTAACTCCCAAAGAAGCTTAATAATAACATCCCCATATTTTTTTTAATGCTCCCTAGGTACTCATGTCTTCGATCTCTATGATTAATAAAAATGGAAAGAAAGGGGCTGGGAAAGTGGCTCAGTGGTAGAGCGCTTGCCTTGCATGCCTGAGGCCCTGGGTTCAATTCCTCAGCACCACATAAGCAAAAAGAAAAAAGCCGGAAGTGGCACTGTGGCTCAAGTGGTAGAGTGCTAGCCTTGAGCTGAAGAGCTGAGGGACAGCGCCCAGGCCGAGTTCAGGCCCCACGACTGGACTCCCCCTCCCCCCCCCCCAAAAAAGGAAAGAACTAGGCAAGAGAATATCAGTATTTTCTGTAAATAATGACTTGTCATTTTCACGCAGAGCCAGAATTCTCTGGCCACTCATGCTTGGTTAAAGACAGCTATAAGGAAAACTGGCTGGTTGAATTCTCATTTAAAGCCCCACACAAGCTTGAGAAGAATACCTGTCTTACAATGAGTGGTTGAGTGACTCCCAAATTAGGAAACCTTCCCCCCAGATAACTGAGAGGTGCCCTTAAGTGCCACATGTGGAAGTGAGTACCACAGTAGTGAAGAAAAATAGCCCAAATTGTACCAGCACTTTCCATACAGAGGCAATACAAGACTACAACTTAGGTGGTATTTGATTGCCACAGAAAGAACATCCATCTTAAGCAATTTCAGCCTAATGTACTGGAAAATTGCTTAACAGCTTCTTCTATTAGAAGCATTTCTATACTAGTGAAATGCCACTCATTTCTTTTTTTTTTTCCAGCAGCAAATCTTGGATGAACAGGAAAAGAATCTCATGACCACCATTTATTGTGTGGACGTGACTTATGTGTTCATCTAGAAAAAGACATTACTGAATGTACACCGGTGCCTCCGAGGTAAACACAGGTTCTCATCTTGCGCTAAACAATTAGTCATTTTTCTTTTATGTTCTTTAGAGTATAATGCAGAGACCAGTTTACTCCCCAAGAAAATTGCTACTAACTTACACCTATTAAGTTTTTATATTAAGACAGCCTTCCAAAGGTTGACTGTTGCTCTGAGTGACTGTAGCAGTCACAGGGGCACAGGAATATATCCACCCCCTAATGTTTCACGGCCTTTGTTCTTGTCTTTGCTTCCATTTGGCTTGCAAACAGCAGACACAGGATATCTCCAAACCAGAGAAATTTGGAATGGAGCAAATCACCAGCTAGAAGAAGCCATTGAGTTTAAAAATAATAAGTCTGCCTGGGCAGGAAAGTTGGTGAGATTCTTGATCTCTAATAAGCCACCAGAAAACTGGGAGTGGCGCTGTGGCTCAAGTGGTAGAGCATTTGCCTTGAGCTGAAGAGCTCAGGGACAGCACCCAGGCCCAGAGTTCAAGCCCCACGACCAACAAACAATAAAAAATAAAAAAATAATGTGGATAAATAGTAAGATTAAGAAACTCCACAAACTATTAGTGCCTGGAAAACATTTTGAGCTTATCACTTGGGACAGAATTTCCCTATGATATGATGTAAGGGAAATGAACAGCTGGGACTTGAATTTTGTTGTTTAACATCCAGGTCATGAATACCTAAAGAAGGAAAGTTGGGGGTTGGGGAGAGGCATTCTGCTTAGAAAGTAATGACTTTCTACAAACTTCTATGATAATTTGTAGAGCATTTGTTGGGCCTAGACACTTCACTAAAGCTTACTATGTTCAATCAATCTGGCCTAAGTGAACCTTCTAAACATTAAGCAACCTAGGAGAATGTAAATTCTTTTTTTAAATTTTCCTGCTGTTTTTTTTTTTTTGGTCTGTCGTGGGGCTTGAACTCTGGGCCTGGGCGCTGTCCCTCCCTCAGCTCTTCAGCTCAAGGTGAATGCTCTACCACTTGAGCTACAGTGCCACTTCCAGTTTTCTGGTGGTTTATTGGAGATAGTCTCACGGTCTTTCCTGCTCGGGCTGGCTTTGAACCACGGTCCTCAGATCTCAGCTAGGATTACAGGCGTGAGCCACTGGCTCCCAGCCTTCTTTTCCTGCTATTCTTATACCACATGGGGTCCCCCCCCCCATAATTTGTATGTGGTAAGACCTGAAACGTTCATATTCTTAGTTTTATCCAGCTTGAGCCTGGAAGCAAAGCTGATTTGATTTTAGGTTGGTTCTGGCTTGGAGAGGGTTGCTTAATATTCAGCCTGAGCTACTTCAAAAGCTAAATGGAGTCAGGGACAGTGACAAGCCTGTAATCCCAGCCACTTGAGAAAGGCTGGAGATGAAGGATCTCTTGAATTTAGGAGTTGAATTTGAGTCTGGAAAAGTCTTACAGATTTGTCTGCTTGAGCTGGCTTTGAACCATAATTCTCAGATCAGTCTTCTGAGCAGCTGGGATTAAAGGTATAAACCACCAGCCTGTGGCTGAAGCCAAATGGATGTTGAGGTTGTTCTGGGATTTATAGCCTGGTCTTGGGATGCAGTTAAGTCCAGCATCCCTA